ACATTAACTGACAAAATATAATTCATTTTACAGATTGAAAATGTCGAGGAACTCAACACGTGCATGTCGGGGACATGTTTAAGGATTTGTAATAAGAAATGAAGAACAATAATAAGATTTAACATATATTTTTTATTTATAACATTGTGAATTTTAATACTTATACTACGTTATTTGTTGTCAATAAATAAATAGTTTTATAATGATATGGTGCGAATCGAAGTTGATATTTTATTTCAATTCAAGGACGTTGAAGAAATGGCGGACATAATGTCAATTACAAATAATTAACCCGTCGTGTGTCTAAACACGAGACAATGTATTTTCTATTGTCTCATATCGGTGCATTCAAGCGGTCAAAGCACCAAAATGTCAATGGTGTATTTTTATATGTGCGTGTACTTGCAACACCGGAATGTATGAAGTGTAAACGGGCCATGTCACGCGTCAGATGTCCTTCATGTCAATGTGTGTGTATTCTGCGCGTAAGTCTATAGTAGCCAGGTGACACAGTCGTTGTTTCAAGAGACTATGTCCGCCATTTTTTCAACGTCCTTGTTTCAATTAATAATTTTTTAATTTGCTATTATATAATATTATTATAGTATGACCGATTCCGTTGTAATTCGCCCTATATGACGCAACCTCTCTTGCTCCCTGTCAATCACTACTGACTACATAGTATAAAACAAAGTCGCTATCCGCCGTCTGTCTGTCCCTATGTATGCTTATATCTTAAAAACTACGCAACGGATTTTGATGCGGTTTTTTTAATAGATGGAGTGTTTCTTAAGGAAGGTTTATATATATAATACATGCCTATTGCACCCATGCGAAGCCGGGGATGGTCGCTATTAACTTGCTAGTTACTAGTAAGTAATGTATGTGGTTTTGTCTGTACAATTAGAGAATTAGCTATTGGCAAACCATTGACCATTAAAATTTCTAACAGATACAGTGATTGGACAAACAGACCTCACGCTACATAAGCGCCATCTAACATTCGATCCAAATCCATATTCATTTCTTTTCTAGCCGCACAATACTTGAAGTGCGGTACAGTAATTATGATCAAATATCAATCAATGTGTTACAAAAATATGATTTAACATTTCGTTTAAAATACATACATAAATAAATTAGGTAATCGAAATATATGGATATTTTGGATAGTTTCGAGGTACACGACCGAAACAGAAGGACAAAATAATTTTACTAGTGGCGGTAACTTTCTGTGTGTAAATTAATGGAAAAATCTTGGTGCGGCAACAGACTAATAATTTGCATACAATAGAAAGTTCTACATTCCATGCATACATAGACAAGGTACTTTTTACTAAACTGTGCTAGTTTACTTATGTTTAAAACTGACGTCATTTTATACGTAACATATTCACTATGTAAATATTATTTATTCAATCTATTTTTTTCTTCTAATTGGCAACCGAGTCTCCTCAACCACAAAACATGGTCAAATAATTTATATTTGTGACGTATGTCAGTTTGACATTGACATGTGTCAAATGATTAAAATGGCGCACTTTGTACTCGGTCGGTCGTTTACCTCGGATAGGAAAACAACTATGCCCTTTGAATCAAACTTAAATAGAATTTTTACTAAGGGTATTTGTACTAAAGAAGGCTACGTTAGTTGCTCACCAGATGGCACTGACGTAACGTGAGATATATTTGTCCAATAGAGAAATACTACACTGTTGGCGCGGTGGCTGGGCAACTAGCTGCCGCTCAACGTATAACGGGTTCGATTCCCACCCGGAGCAACTCTGTGATCCACAAATTGTTGTTTTAGGTCTGGGTGTCATTGTGTATGTGAACTTGTATGTTTTAGACGCACCCAACGAGCCAAGAGAAAACATTTTTTTACAGTGCCTCAAAAAAAAATTGTTAATACCAAATTAAACCATTGAATTGGAAATTCAGTTTTTGACTGCTACAATAACTAAAAAGACGTCAAGCTACATATCGCCATCTGGTTAGCAAAAAAGCAGCTTTAATTTACAAAACAATATATTTATTTATTTATTCCAACTTCATACAACAAGTGTGTACAGGTGGACTAAATGCCTTGTGCATTGTCTCCCAGTCAACCTTTAAGCAGTGCAGAGATGAAAGTAGCAGGTGATTTTAAACCTTTATAAACAGACAATGTACCAGTATAATAAATAACAAATCTCACAATCATAATATTCAATAACACTCTATAGGTATATATGAAAACTAAAGGAGGCCATATAGGCCAGGTTTGGCATGATGGTTTTAGCTGTGTATGCATAACCGACAGCGACAGGCAAGCCCTAATGTGTATGTGACTAATGTCGAAATACTGAAACGTTACTCAATTTTAATTCGTGCTTAAATATCGTGCCATCTCTGTCATTTTACAAAGAATTTGTAGAGACAGAACTATACTTAAGCGCGACTTAAAATTGAGTAGCGTTTCAATATTCCGACATAAACTGTACAGTTATCGGTGGATGTACATGCAAAACCTAAGGTGTATGTATGGTATGAAACTCGGTTATGCTTGTCTGTTTTTCATGCAAAGTTCTAGCTATCATGCATAATCTAGCGTGTATGGCCTTATTATCCTTTATACAGAATACAACTTTGCCCTTTTATTTCAACTTAGCTATTTAAGAATATACACAATTGGAATTTCTACTATAATGTATCCTGTCGCCTGCCCTACCAAAATAACCTACAAGCTATAATTTATTTTGTGACGTCACAACAATGGAATTACCCTATTCACTTACAAAGAACTTTTATTCTCACATATTTAATCAGCTTGAAACATTATTCATTTCTTGTTCTATTAAAACTGTAGTTGCCAGGCTACTAATAAATGTTATAAAAAGGTTATAAAGGATATTAAAACTATTTTTAAATCAACCGTCTAATAAATGAGTACTTATAGTGATCATAGTGTGATCCACAAATTGTTGTTTCGGGGCTGAGTGTCATGTGTATGTTTGTAAACGCACCCACGATACAGGAGAAAATCCTAGAGTGGGGCAACGTTTTTTTTAAAAAAAAAACTAGTAATGTTGTATTTTTCCCGCATTGGGCCGTAAGGAAGAGACAAAGCCCATCAATTAAAAAAGATAGTGATTATACAATTTCAAAAACTAAGAAAGTAGTTCATTTTTACAGCATGGCTCTTAGGTTTATTTCCATCACAATGGAAATTAGATTGAACCGCTATAAAAGTCAGATAAAAAAAAACATCGCCCCACACTATTTTCTCCTGTGTCGTGGGTGGGTTTACAAACATACACATGAAACCCAGCCCCGAAACAACAATTTGTAGATCACACAAAGAGATGCTCCGTGCGGGAACCGAACCACCGTGCAGTCCGTCAGATTGTGCACTAATATTCCAAAAATATATTTATTATTAACCAGGTTGACTGTCCATCTTACGGGTGTTATGAAAACCATGCGGTAAAAATAACTCAATAAAGAAGTTAGGGTTAAACGCGTCACGAGTCAAACTCAAATGAATACACTTAACTTGTTTACAAATAAATTAAATAATTAGAACCTTTCATTAACTTGTTCTGATCATGTTTCTGTGTTGTGATCGGCGAGACAATAGAATTTTTAGTGCCTACATTACTTATGTCGATTGTACCGATGATTTAACTTCAAGTAAATTTTACAGAACTGAATGGATTGTGATACAGAAAAAGACTTTCAAAATCTAAATTTTTGTCATAATATCGAAATATAAGCTTCGGAAATGTTACATTTCAATTTAATGTCTTTTAAACTAAGGATTTACTCACGTGACGTGAAGTAATTGAGAAATGCTCTACTAATTTCAAATCACAATGGGAGTCTTACGTAGGAGCAGCGCGCTTATATCAATATTACTCGCGTTATTTTAATTTCCACATACGCTAAATCGTCAGTACTTACCCAAAAATAGCATTCATGGAATACTTTATTTAAACTCCCCAACTACGAATAAAATTTTCATCTCTATTACTAACAGCGTAAAACACAATGTTGCCTACACTTCCAGCTTGCACACGCCAATTTAGAAAAATGGATTTTAGCTCTAAGGACCAAAGTTCATTTTTTATAAGCATCATTTTAAAAAGCTTCTACTTTAAATATGTTAATTACTATATCATCATGACATTTAGATGTCAGAATTGTTAGCAATTCTTTCGGACATTTCATTTCCATACAAAAATATCAGTTATTTTTTACCTACAACTATATTCTTTATCATCAACACTTTCTTCTCAAATTAACAACCTTCTGACCTCTCATTTACAAAACTAACTGTATAAAATTAATATTTTGTTAGGAATTAACATTGCATACCAACTTACACTACAACTTCAAAAAAGAAATATATTCAAACAAGCTTTCTATGTTAATTATTCGATAATTTCTTTGTTTACATTTCAGACCTTGATATTTAGTTTTTAAGGAACAATTTTGTATAACTAATTGTGATTATTAACATTGTCACTGTAATTTCTTTATGAGACATTGAAAATGCTACTGTGTTTAGCCTTAAATTAGACACAATTTCGTGTAACAGACAAGTTACATACATTTTATAGAACATCCGCTAGTAAAGTATTTTATGAATTTTACGAACGTCATCTCACAGCGCCCATAACAAATACCAATCTGTGAAAATTACAACAAAACAATTCCAGGCACTCATATGTAAGCAGTTAATAAATCTTAAAAGTAATTATGCTTCACACGATATACATACATCTTTTTAATAAAAAAACTAAACCTAAAGTAAATAAATAAGGAATAAATTACATAACCCAAAGTACAATGCAAAGCAATCCATAACCTAATCACAATAAAGGTGATTTCGTATCATCCCCTGTACCTTGGCGTATACGGTATACCAGCAGCTGTAGCCAAATGCCATTTAGCGCTTGTCTACATGTAGAATAGAAAACCAAATTATATGGAATTGACGTAAATTTTGACACTTGTCAGTGTCATCCCCATACATTTTGATTCCTACCCTCTCTGTAGACAAGCGCTAAAGTGGCATTTGGCTAAAGGCCCAGATTTTAAATTCAGTACCTTTGGTATTTCAAATCTTAAGAACCAGAATGAAAATGAATTATAACTTACAATATTATATATTATGGATTGTATTAAATCACTGGATGCCTAAATATGTGCTTAAGCTTTGAGACATAACAACTAGTTTCATAACTAACTGTACCTAACTACAGTGCATTTACGCATCACAAAAATATCACATTAGCAACGAAGCCAGATTAAATTAATAATCCTCTAAGAATTCCTCTATAATATGCGCTATTTTCTCCGGATCTTCTAAGTGTATGTGATGCGTTCCTTCAACCTCTACGTACCGAACATCAGCCGTAGCCTTCATCTTCTCTATGACGCTCATATAGTAATCTAACTTTTCCCACCTTTGCCCTGGTAACGCACGAAGATTAAGGACTTTGCACTTGACCTTGGCCGCATATTCCAAAGCCGTTTCTATCGACATCATCGCCAACCCAGACACTTTTAACTTAGGGTCCCTCCTAAAGAAATAACCCCTTTTCTTCAAATGCGCTGGAGTAGGCATCATGCCTCGCTTCATGAGAACCTTGCAGTTCTCCCTCGAAATCGATCCTTTGTACGCATCACAGACAATATCTATCATTTCTTCGTAGTCGTAACAAGGTACTTTGTCTATAGGTAAATTCTCGTAGTCTAAAACTTTGTCAATGCCCTGTCCTGTACCTTTGACCATAGTACTCGGTTCTCTGACTGCCGGGCTGGCGATGTCCACGCAAATAATTTTCTCTACGTCATCAGGGAATGAGGCTGCGTACATGAAGCTGAGAGCGCCACCAAGCGAATGTCCCATTAGAGTGATTTTGCTCCATTCGAAGTGTTTGACTATCCGTCTCAGAAGGACAATACCGTCCCAGAAGATGTAATAGAGCATACCTTTAGGATAGTGTGTGGATAGACCATGTCCTGGCAAGTCTATGCAAAGGACTGAAGTTGTGACTGGTAGGAGTGGGATCAGATTGTCCCACGTGCCTGCATTGTCTTGCCAACCGTGGATGGCAATGATTGGCTGCTTGTCCCGTGGCCCCCACCATCGTCCCGCAACATGACCCCAAGGAACGGGTATCTCAATTTCTTCTACCTTGTAGCCTGGTGGCAGCACTGGAAACAAGGGAAAAAATACAATTAAAAAAGATTCAGGAAATGTGTAAAAATTACTTCGGTTGCGCTTGAAAGAAGTCAATAATAGAACAATAATCAAATGACGATTTATCGGGTCTTATTTGGTGATTAGATAGAAAAATATCTCTGCTTTGGCATAAAGTATAAAATGACTAGCGTTTATTTGAATTCCATAATCTTTGGCAAGATGTTCAGAGGCCTTAAGTAGTACGAATTTATTTTACGTTTAAACTAATCGAAACGAGTACGCGTTCGAAGCTCTGATTGGCCGGCTGTAATGAACCAACCAATCAGAGCGCCGAACGCGGTCTTTAATTATATAAGAAACTCGTACTTAGGCCTCAGAAGTCCTAGATACTGAACCTTATTAAATACGTATTGTAATAACTAATAACCAGCTGTGAAGAATTAACTTTCTACAACAGAAATGCACATTATTATCAAAATTAAATAAGAAACGTAATCATATAGCATTAATTCTGCAAGCAAGATAAGTAGTCGCTTATCGCTATAATAATTAACTATAAGCTAATAATCTCTTTTATCTGCAATACGGTACTCTGTTTTAAAGACACATGTATAACGCAAGATAGAAGTCTCGTGTTTATTGATAATGCGTGTATAGGTCGTCTCCTATCTCCTAAGTTACTAAGTAGGTCTTAATTATAATTTCTTGCACTATACTTTAACATCCGTTTTAAATAAGGGGGGAAAATAATCGATTGACTTCTTCCGCAAAGGTGAGGCGGAAAGGAGTGTCAGACTCTAACTGACTAAAAACTACCCCGTTCCTACTCCTGCCCTTCGAACTGGAGCCCTGGCAAGGACATAACGGGACATATTGGAGAAAACAAGGATTGGGGAAAAACCTGGACTGAAGCAAAACAGTCATCGGAAAGTGTGATTTCACCGATAGCAACTACTAGGACAGGTCGTTGAACTACCGAAGAAAACAATCCTTACTTAATATTATAAATCGGAAAGTGAGTTTGTTTGTTTATTTGTTCCGCTTTCACGCCATAACTACTAAACCGATTGCTTTGAATTTTTGCAGATGTATAGTTAGAAGTCCGGATTAAATAATATGGTACTTTTTATCCCGGAAAAATTTGATATTCCCGAGGGAAAACAAAAGTATTGGTATAGATGACGCTGTGTGTATTGGTATATGTCACATTGGCTTCTTATCCTTTTGTGACGCGAGCGAAGCCGCGGGTAAAAGCTAGTAACAAATATAAAGTACCTAGGTACGGCACGAAGCAGATGTACCTATGTTGTCAGAAATAAATGTCGTTATTTATGGTAACTCTAGATAATGCTTGTGAATATTTTATGTCATAAAAAATAATAATTTCATAATTCATATAAAAAAAACGTGACAACTAACCACGAGGTGCAGAATTATTATTATTATTGTATTAACGATTAACTACTTAAAAATTTTAATGTTTACTATTTTTAGCAATTCTTTATTTGTCACTTATAATATTGTTATAACAGGCGATACTAATTTTCAATCACATTAGATATAAGTATTTCCACAGTAGTTCTGCATATCGTTACTGATTTTTTTGTAAATTATTGTTTCGTTGAAGTTAGCAGAAAGTCCTTTTTAAATAGCTTTTGTCCTAATGTCCTTTAAATAGCTTTTGTCCAAATGTCCTTTTAAAGATTTTTTAAATTGATCGCCGAACCGAGCGAAATATGAAAAGGTGGCACCTGTGACCTGCGTTATTTCAACAATCTGTTGCTAAAAAAGCAAGCACAATGTAACAGGCAAAACTTAAGAAATTTATGTAAATACATATTATATTAAAATAAAGAAACTATGATACTAAATAATTAATGTTTAATACGAATACAACATTTCTTATGTTATACTTATAATATGATAACTATTCATAGAAATTTAATTTAGATTATATTTTGCTCCATATGTTGCTGTGCCCTAGCCGGGTTTCGTGTTGAAACTGTAGGTACCTTATGTAACACCAATAATTGTACACATGATATGCAATAAAAGAATTTGAATTTGAATTTGAAAACAGTGCAAAAATTATGAAAAGCCTGCCAGACATTTCCAGAAGTCAGATATTTACCGCGTGGTTATTGATAACCAATTGGACTTCGACCGTAGGTAGGCAGTCAAGCAAAATAGATAGCATTTTATGTATTTACTCGCTTCCAAAATAATACTTCTGCAGACAACATGATTCATGCAAGATAATTTTGATCGTATGATTATATTGTCAAGTCGGAACACTGATTGAAGATACTTACATAAATATACTACAAAAACTTAATATTGCAAAGTTACTTAGATACAAAAAGTATATTATTAATATTTATGTGAGTATTATGCAAACAAAATTATAAGTGATAAATTAATAGTTAGTAGTTATTTATGATATTTTCCACATCTTGTTCATTTAGTTATATCTTGGTTTATTATTATGTTGATAAGCAAAACATAAAAGACAAAACTGTTCTTACGAAACAATCAGGTAATTTACCTATCCTAAAAAGCTACATAGATTGTACAGGATTATCACATCAAGATAATATTTTAATAACATTGCGTAATCTACTGATATTGAACGATGCTTGTGCTAAAATGGCGCCATTGGCATTTTGGCGGGCAAAGTCCGACTTCTTTTTTTTTAATAAACATGACTTGCATGTTGCCATATTTCATCTAAATGAGACTGGCCTCTATTGCGTCAACTGATACTATATTTTGGACTTTGGACACTAGCTTAAGTATACATAACATTTAGCAACTTTTGGGGCCATATAAGATATTTAAATATGTATTTATGAATCCATTTAAAAGTTGTCTGCAAGAAATCGCATCCTGTAACAAAGAGCGTCCATTGTACACATTTTATTTTAAACTAACTACTAAAGTGTATAACGATAAATAAAAAAAAACACTAACAGTAGGTTAATTATAGTGATAGTTTCGAGTCGAGTCCATACGTTTTACTTTTTACAGTTAGTCGACTAACGGTAGGTCGACTGAACGATTGGTCGAATGGACTTTAACTATTGCGAAACAATAATTATGTGATTGCATGACCTGTATGTATCTAGTCTATTCGTCTGTGACTGTTGTATTGTTAAATACCTATTAAGAAGTGAGTTGAAATGAATCTCATCAACAAGGTATTTTTTTTTTAAGGGGGGAAAATCATCGAATGACTGCTCCCGCCTGGGTGAGGCGGGAGGGAGTGTCAGACTCTTACTGACTAAAATCCACCCCGTTCCTTCTCCTGCACGTCGAGCCGGAGCCCCGGTTACCCGTTAGGTTCTCCGCGACTCCGAATCGGCATCGGCCCTATTGGGCCCCATCTGTGGTGGTCTGATGGCTCTTTGAGGCGCGCGCGGACGGGTCTGTTTCTGGTCGGACGGGGAGCCACCCATGCTCGCCGTCCGCAGGCCCGCGCTTACGGTGGCCGGAGATCGTCCCGCGATCCCCGACGCCCGGTGTGTCCTTCGCGATGGCTGGGTTGTGAGGAGGCAGCGCTTCGCTGCCTCACGCGTCCTGCCTCCTCCTTAGCTAGCATGACTGCTTCGCAAAAGGAGGAGACGGCATCCCAGTCCCCCTCGCTCCGCATCATGGCCTGCACTAGGCCCGGACGCGAGAGGTCGCCATCGCCGATCACTTCCCTGATGGCACGGCGGTGCTTAGTCCACGCAGGGCATTCTCCCACCGTGTGTTCCACCGTGTCCTCAAGGCGGTCCTCGCAGTGATGACACCCGGGCGTTTCCTCCCGCCCCATCAGACACAGGTACCTCCCGAAACTTCTATGTCCGGTGAGGACCTGCGTCAGGCGGTAGGTGAGGACGCCGTAGCGTCTCTCAAGCCACTCCTCAAAGAGGGGTCTTACCGCTGCAATGGCAGCGAGCCCAATCAACAAGGTATAGATAGTCGCTAATACCTACCTACCTAAAGAAAATATTTCATTAAATCCTATACAAAAACAATGTTAGTTCACCTAATACTTACGAATGGTTAAAAGGGTTTCGATGATTTTTGTTCTTTTAGTTTTCGACCTCTAATTGGTACCTAGTTATCTAGAATAACTATAACTATAACACACTAAAAAGAAACCCTCAAATAAATTATGTATGTAGAATCTACACATTTTTTATGCAATAAGCCAGTAAATGAGCAGACCGATCACCTGATGGTAAGCAATCCGCACCGCCAATCGGCATCCGAAACACCAGAGGTGTTACGGGTGCGTTACCGGTCTTTTGGAGATTAGGAATTTGAGGATTATAGGAGATTTGGGGAGATGGGGGATATTGGGGGCAATAGGGCCTCCGGTAACCTCACTAACACGACGCAAGTGTTGTTTCACGTCAGTTTTCTATGCTGCCGTGGTATCACTACGGTCGACCCGGCCTATTCGTACGTACCAAAGCATGGCTCTCCCACACTTATTTCGATATTGATTTTGAAACTGTAGGTACAAAGTTCGCCAGACCAGTTAGTGACCTATACGTACCTATAAGAACAAATATTAAACAACTGACGTCACTGTGTAAGTTATTGCGTAAGCATACCATTTAACATGAATCAAGGTCAAATGAAATGTACCTATTTTAGGCCTATTACCTAGCAATTACCAATATAAAAATGCGTTATGTAACTTATGTATCGCGCTCTTATGAGAATATTCATAACTATCAATACGTGTGGTTACTGGAAATATTTGAAGCCCTTGCTTTGAAATTTGGTTTCCAGTAATCTCACTCGCACGACTAACACAAGTAACACAACGTTAATTCACGTCAGTTTTCTGGCATCACTCCGGTCGAGCCGGCCCATTCGTGCCGAAGATCAAGATGCAAGATCGCAAAAACGGTAAGTTACTTAATTTTCTTTTCAATCTAATAATACATACTAAATACTACTTAATAAGTAGGTAACTGAAAAGGTCATCAACTCTTATAGGTAGGTACATAACAATCGCATGTTTAAACCACGCGATACACACGAGTACTATTTATACACACATAAACTAGATGTCTCTGCTGAAACAATCCGGCTTTTTCTTGATTTACTTGATAAAAACACAACAATTATGGCATAACTGTCATCTTTAATTTATGAAGGTCACGTAACCAGTATAGGTAATAATGTTTTTATAATAACTATCGTGAGACATATTAAATTAACTAAAAATCGCGGGTTACTCACGTGAATATACTGAGAAAAGCTCTACTAGTTTCGAACCACAGAGGGATAGTTCGAAACTAGTAGAGCTTTTCTCAGTATATTCACGTGAGTAACCCGCGATTTTAGTTAATTTAGTATAATAATATTGTAGTTTTAAAGAAACATAATAGGAAAGACTGGAAATGAAATCATTTTTTTATTCATCGAGCTGCGCAAAACCGGTATAAACTGACTGTTGAATTTGAATGTGCAGAAAGATCATACAAAGCAAGGTACCTAGATAAATGCGTTTTGTATGGTCTTATGCGTAGCTGTGTGTACATAATTCAATGCCTAATAAATACAGTAGGTACGTATTTTAAAATACCTCGTTGCCTCGTTGACCGAGTGGTCGCAATTGCGACTGCCGGGCAAGGAGCCTCAGGTTCGATTCCTGGGTCGGGCAAAGTATTAACGGGTTTTTTTTTAAATCTCAGCAGTAACACGGCGTCTAGAATTGTGCCCGATATATGACAATAGGCTCACCCCTTATCACATGGGAATGGGATAAGGGGTGAAAAGAGGGTGTTACATCGTACAAAGTGCCATAGATAATGTGCACCTCTGCCTATCCTTTCTGGATAAAAAGTGTGTCTGTTATGTTATATGTTATTTCAAAATACTAATTTGCACTTGTAGTATTTGTCCAGGTGGTACGATAAAGATTAGAGTATGAGTAATATATTGGAAATAGGAAGTGATAAACCATGATAAAATCTTGGCAAACCGTACATTGGACTTTGTACCCACATGGCATGTTGCATGATAGTTACATGATTCATAAGGAAAGTCTGCGAATATATATTGTACATATTTTAAAATAACAATTTACACATTTTCTTTTCTGGTTTTGATAAAATCATAAGCAGTTAAGATCGTGGTGCTATGTTACCATGGATATTGAGAGACCTGGCTCTTGTGATACAGGGATACCTAGTACAGGAGCCAGGGCTTCACTGTGTTAATTCAATGAAGCGCTAATAATTTTTTTTTTTAAATACAATTTTATATTTAAAACATGACCTTTATCGATAATGACATCTTCAAACTAGTTATTTAAGTAGTTGACAAAATATTTGGGCAGATAGTATCTAGAAAAGTTTCATTTAATAACGAGACAAACCACAGATAAAATTTTTCAATGCAGAAAGAGTAAACCCCTGTTTACCACATACATATTTACTTTAAAATATTATTCAGATTGAGTACAAACTGTTTTCATTTTATTTTTATTTAAATTTATCAACCTGTTAATATTCCATACACAAACATTGCTTTTATTGTGGACCTTATTTGTTACTATTGCAAAATTTACTAGCTTTTACCCGCGGCTTCGCTCGCATCACAAAAGGATAAAAAGGAGCCTATGTGACATATACCAATACAAACAGCGCCATCTGTACCAACACATTACATTTTTCCGGGATAAAAAGTACCCTATTATTTAATCCGGACTTCTAAATTTACGTCTGCAAAAATTCAAAGCAATCGGTTTAGTATTTACGGCGTGAAAGCGGAACAAACAAACTCACTTTCCGATTTATAATATTATAATATATATTTAGTAAGCATGTAACCTGCACTATGGTTTAAGGCTTGATAGTAGCAAATAGTATGTGAGCAAGATACAAAAATTTTGATATTTAATGCTTGTAATTTTCAGTACAAATGATTGTGTCCTCATTAAGTACTTAGTTTAAAATGTAGATTAAAAACATACAGTAGACTGTTCTAATTACATTAACAGTTGGTATAACTGTAATTGTGAAAGTGATTGTTTTAGCTAACTAATTACAACCAGATCTTGTTACCGCAACCTATTGTTCTATAATTGTGTCTATAATGACGGTACTCGACGAGTTAATCCTTGATTAGGCACTTTTGGAAATGTCAAAGTGAATTTTTAGTGAAACTACATGCTTGTTCCAAAATGTTGTTTCAAATTGGAGAAGAAATTAAAACTTTAACATGTTTGTTGTTGGTTCAAGCATCTACCTTTATCTTTAGACACAACACAACATAACATCACGCCTTTTATCCCCGAAGGGGTAGGCAGAGGTGCATATTACCATACAATGTAACACTCACTTTTCCCTATTTATGTTATGAGGCCCATGTAAGTGGGGGTAAGCCTATTGCCATATACCAGGCACGTTTCCAGACTCTGTGCTAACACTGAGATTTTTAAAACCCAGTAATACTTTGCCTGACCCGGGAATCAAACCCAAAACCCCTTGCCCAGCAGTTACACTTGCTATCACTCGGCCAATGAGGCAGTCAGTTTTTAATTAGTTACCTACTAAACACATTGTATTAAGCCTCAACAGTAAAGTGCCTATCAATATTTTTTACAACCAATAAAATGATAATTATAATACACACTTCATGCACCATAAAAAAATATTATTATTCATTATTAAAACAATTAAGTTTGATAACATGTCAATTAAAAACTACACTTAAAAATATAGTTAGTGTACAGTACATTTTTTTTAGTAATTTAAATATTATTCTAGTCATTCACCTCCAAAAATTAACATTAATGAGCTTGAACTTGGAATAATTTCAATAACAATAACTTAAGTACATATGTAAATAAATATTAATTGTAAAATTGTATTGAAAAGAATAATTAATTTTAATAAATAATATATTAATGTTCTTTTTTTAATGTATCATGAAAAAATAATTTTAATGTCTTTGCCTACACAAGATCATGAGCATAGATTATGAATACCAATGTGGAATTAAAAAAAATAATGTAATAATACAGAAACAAGGTTCATACCTTGTTTCTGTATTAGACACATTAAAAAGAATGAGTTTCATATTGTTGCTTATGACTATTGTAATTTATTGTTACGTAAATAGTTAATGTATTACCGTCAGGTAGTTGATGTCCATTCATTGTTGCTCCAGACATCGGCCGCCTTCAACTAAATACCAATATTTCGTAGCACTTTTATGAACAACTATTTCCTTAACAGATTATATTCACTCGCGCTTTATAGTTCTCGATAATCTAGACAATAAAACAGATGTTTTATCGTCTAACGATCTAATTAAATAGGCAGAATATTATATTATTAGATTCACATAAAATAAACTTTCCGATTAGGGAAGGTGACCGTAAACGTGACTTCACCTAAGGTTAGGAAATTGAACTATACTATACACACTAAACGCACGGACCGCCGCAGTCTTATGAAACGAACGAAACAAGAACAAATATTGATTGCACGACTATTTTCCTTTGAAATGATGAAACTTGAAAGTGAAGTCTCCCCGAGCGATAATATTTAACGATTTTGACAATGGGAATGACATTGACATTGACACTGACAAGTGGCATCTAAGATGACAGCAGTCTTGCCTGCAATTGAGTACTAGCCTTTTCACACAGTGCTTATTAAAAAAACCTTTCGGTTGCCAAAGAAGAAAAAAAACTTTATTGTTTCGTGTAACAGAGGGTGATATCTATCTTTGGTCACAGCCAATCATTCATTCATTGAAACGGTCATTCATTCATTGATCATTCGTTATGGTGATGGTGACCTGTCAACAAAAAAGTGTCAGCGTCAGAAACAAGAAAAGCGAATAGATTTCCAGACAATCAAGACTACGTTGGCAAAATTTATTTATAATGGCAGACAAAAGGAAAACCAAAAAACGTAAAGAGGTAAGATAGATTTACTGTTTACTGATACATGTCGGATTGTAATACTTAATTACACTTCGCTTTCATTGTTTTTGTCCAAGTTTCCATAATGCGGATGCGGCGTGTTGATTTTCTCCGTTTGCAAAATATTTTTCTCTTGTTTTTCTAAGTCTTTGATTAGCGGCGTGTATGGAGAATGATTCTCTTTAATTAAAATTTGGACGAATTCCCATCATTTCTACGGTTGCTCTTAGTATTTACCGAATGACGCATCCATTTCGATTTTATGTTTAGTTCATTGCCTGGCTGAAAACCAACGGGTTTGTGCGTAGTTCTCCGAGATCAGCGTCATTGTATGAACACAGTGTCAGCTATTTTTGGGAATTCTTTGTTTACTGTGACACCTCACCAAATAACCAGATGTTACCGTCGTGTCACGTCAAACTGTTAAATTTATTTCATGTTGACATTTCTGTAAAGGACTACGTCTTTGAAGACCACTGAGAGATGCAACCAGACTTAAGGACCACATAACTACTACATTTTAATTATAACTTTTTGTTTCCGTTCATAACTCTACAGATTACTATCTGTAATCATCATAACTTATTCCTAATAATATTTGTTTTTCAATTTAAATTCATAATAAAAAAAACTCGAATTGTGGTCAAGGATAATAAATTAATAATCTATAAAAAAGAAAATATAACTGAAATAAGAGAAATTAAAGTCTAAAACAAAGTAATTAAGACACAAATTCATTTATTTCACCCATTTTCCGCCTAAACACAATACTTTGCAGAAAGTGAAGTTTAGTTGCATCTTTCAATATTTTGCCTACAATACTTTAAAAATGCCTACAAATCACAAAAACCCTCATTATTAATTCATACTCTATGTCTAGACAAAGTGCATGCTAGTTTATTAATTATATTTTTGTTTACAGCGAAAAAAGGTTTGATTTTTTTAATATTTTTTATACACTTGCACATTTTATTTGAGTTATACTTAAAATCACCTTAGGTTTGACTTCTTTTATTAAAGTGCTATTATTATTACTTGTTTTCAATAAGCTATTATTTTTGTGTGTGCACAGCACATTTGCACAAGTGTGAAGTTAATAGTCTAAAGTACAATCGGACCATAACTATTTCGAAAAAAACAATTTTTACTGTTGTTGGTTATACTGGGTATATACACTATGGACTGCTTTTAATTCCCATCTTGACTTCTTCAATATAGTCTATAATCCTGAACTTTTGTTTTACGTTTAGTGTTTCTGAATCCACAAAAAGAGCAGCTTTTATTTGTACACATAGTTTTAGTATGTGTTGTATGTATAACGGACATCTTCTAGAATCTTCCATGGTGAATTAACTAAAAATCACGGGTTACATACATACTGAGAAAAGTTCTACTAGTTTCGAACCAAACTTATCAAATTTTTAGTTAATTTTGTATGTCTCACGATAGTAATTATAAAAAACATCTTCCATGGTGTTCTATATATACCGATGAGTAAATTACTCATCCTATAACATTGATTATTAAACAATACCATAAACTACCATTAATGCCCATTATTTTATAGCTAAATATTATGTCTTTCTATCCATATTATCCCACATTATGTCTACATAAATTATATTATAACATAGCTCCTTTTTCTAAACTATCTATCCTAGACCTAGACCATTCTATTTAGTCTTGCCATTCAATCAGAGGTAGATTAGACTTAGGAGAGTCTTTACGCAAGCACTTCATAGTCGCCTCTAAATTTTTTCGCAGTCGCCTCACTATGGTCGATTAGGCACGTGCGTCTCGCGGCGGCCCTATGCTCTGTACCCTGGCGCCCTAGGCCCATGGCAAGTTTGCCTTACGGATAATATGGCTCTGTATACAGTCAGAATTTCACAAGTTCATGACTTGTTTAGCTGTATTAGCAACACCTTTGTAAACAATCTGTCTGATATTTACTCTGTAAATTGATGTTAATAAATAACTGTATATGTATAGTTGTCTACAACATTCCTATTTCCGAGTGATATCTTATTATATAGTGATTCCTGTTATGTAGAAAATGGTACTTAAAATGAAATTAATTTCAATGGAAACAACTTTTCCTTATTAATCACAAGTTACTGACATTGATATTGGCCAGTTTAATACCTACTTGATTGTGTGTATTAACTCGTCGAGTACCGGTTTTGTGGACACAATTATAGAACAATAGGTTGCGGTCACCGGTGACCGCTTGGTGTTTGACAGTTTAAAAATTGACTTTAACCCATATATCCTCAAGCATTCACCGGTGACCACTCTCTACTAACTACATTATAGACCTTATATCCAATGTTTAGAGACTACTTTTGTATGAACAAATTTAGGGGAAATTTTTCAATGGTTTAAGTTATTAAAACTCAATAAATACAATATCAGTATGCCATAATGGTTTATTGGCATTTAAATTATGTGGGTATCAGTTGAACCAAGTCTTGCCATTTGATACAATAATGAATAAAAGATACAAAAATTATTGCCAAAATGTTCCTCAAAGCAACATTTACAAATTCATTGATGCATTGATATACTCTTTGATAATGCTTACATTAAGTTACACTTACACTTTACAGTTTATTTGTTAGTTTTAGTCTTAAAGAAACTAAAAATAAAGTAATCCGAAGTCCTATATTCTAATACCCTTATCATATACCATAATAATTTAGGATACGAACAATGGTTTGTTATGTAAACTTTTATTGTTTTTATTCAACATAGCACTAGCCAGTGAGTGTTCTAAATGTAGCGTCTTATCACTGTTATAGAAATTAGTTCCGTTCTAGTCTATGATAGAACGATTTATGTGGAATAAAGTCGTTGGTAGAAAAATATACAGAAGTAGATCGATTTTGCTTAGTAAAATCCTTATCCTTATCCTTACTATCCTTATCCTTACTTAATCCTTACTTATAATATTATAATACGGAAAGTGCGTTTGTTTGTTTGTTTGTTCGTTCGTTCCGCTTTCACGCCGTAACTACTAAACCGATTGCTTTGAATTTTTGCAGACGTAAAGTTAGAAGTCTGGATTAAATAATAGGGTACTTTTTATCCCAGAAAAATTTGAAATTCTCGAAGGAAAACGAAATATTGGTATAGATGGTGTGCTGTGTGTATTGGTATATGTCACATAGGCTACTTTTTATCCTTTTGTGACGCGTTCGAAGCCGCGGGTAAAAGCTAGTGTGAAATAAATAGTCCAGTTCAAAAGAAACCACTCAAACAAGTCAAGCGAGTTATAATGGAATTAAGTGAAAAACGTTATTATTCCAATGGTCATTAAGTAAAAAATTTATCAATCAATATGACTTAATAATTAGTATTCATTAATGTACATTAATTTTCCCAATTGACTGTTGGGTAAATCTCTAAAATATTCTTATTTATAACAAGGAAAAGAACTCACAGTTTGATTGCATTACCTACGGATTTTTCCTCAATCGTCATTGAACATAACAATATCATGACGACGAATCCGTAATGGGATTTACCTTTGATCATAAAGCTTAATTATAAGTATGTATAGTGTATATGTGTGTGTTGTTTAGCTCAAAACACGAAAACAGCTGCACTGATTGGCTACACCATTTTTGCATTATAGTGTGGCGACACATGGTACATTCTAACGGATGACATCATAAAAATCCTACATCGCACATGCGAAGTTTACATTGGATTTAACACGGATAGAAAATCCCAACGAACATCTGTTGGGCAGAAAGCCCGCCAGGCATGATCACCTCGCCTGGTCGGAGGATCCTCCTTTTCCGATCTTAGGGAACTATACTCTCTGTTCCCTAAAGTGGTGACCCCGACGTGATTGGAAGTAATCTTCACTTAACGGAGCAGATCAGCACCGTCATCCGTATCGCCATCCCTCTCATTCATCATTTCTCCGCTGAGCGGTAATCAAGTCGCAGCCAACCAGCATCCTCAGCCTCATCAGGGACCACCATCGCCTGCAACGAAGTTGTGCAGCTTGGTTCTTCCCTACGGCCTCACCAGCGTCTAGGCACAGCACTTCTGCACACGGTTCTGAAGGACATCTCCTCCCGTCAACGCAGACGCCAGCCACTACGCACCTACCCTCGCAGCATCTATTCCCCGACTCACCGTGGGACACTGCGAACTCATCTCTCCGACTCACTGGAGTATCGCCCTGCACCGCTCACCCGACTCACTGGGCACTCAGCGGCACAGTTCCGACTCACTGGAACTAGGGACTTTCTACACTGGCTCTGGCACCGCACATCTCAAGCATCGACAGCCGTCTCAGCGGGATCGACCTTCGGTCTTGGGAGGGAGTGATGTGGCGACACATGGTACATTCTAACGGATGACGTCATAAAAATCCTACATCGCACATGCGAAGTTTACATTGGATTTAACACGGATAGAAAATCCCAACGAACAACTGTTGGGCAGAAAGCCCGCCAGGCACGATCACCTCGCCTGGTCGGAGGATCCTCCTTTTCCGATCTTAGGGAACTATACTCTCTGTTCCCTAAAATAGCTTTCGTGAGACATACTAAATAAATTATTGTGTTTTCGGCTTACTCAAGTAATTATTAGATGAGGAACTCGACTAGTTTCCAGCCATGCTAGAGGCTCATATTCATGAGCAGCATTTCGCGACCCGTGACGCAGCGACTGTCGCGCTGCTACTGGCTACTCGAGTCTGCCGTGATTCTTGCAGTTTTACCACTCTTGCAGTTTAAGTCTGAGAAAAAAATTGTGTAAAACGTTTTGGAGACGTCAAAAGAGGTCATAATGATGGTGGTTAGATTTTAGCCAATATTTAATAGATTTTATAGATTTATATTTATAGATTTATA